CCTCTTCCCAGGACACTTTACCGTGATCTTCCTGAAAAGTGCGCTAATTATGCAAACTTTGGTGGCATCAAGGTGACTGCGTCCCCTAGAATTGTACAGTGCAGAGTTTGCACAACTGTGAGCAGTCCTGAAAATGGAGCGAGTTCTCTGGTGATTCTCTTCACTTCTCTATCCCCTCCCCTCCCCTCTTTTCCTTATCCTTTCTCACAGAGCTGGGGACCAGGGGGCCATTTCTCACCAGGGAGGGAAAGGGAAGGAAGGGCAGAGACAGAGGAGGAGGAGGGAGAGTGTGAAGGACAGCAGAGGGAAAAGGGCAGGACTTGTTTCTTGGCTCTCAGAAACTGAAACCAAAAGTCCTGGCAGGAGTCAACCTGAAAAGCAAAATGCTAAGGTTGCAAAGCTGTGTTGAGGGAGCAAAGCCACTGTATCTGGGCAGCAGCCCTGGTCAGAGACACTCTAGCCAAAATCTTGTGTTGCCTATACCAGGCCTTGCCCCTGATCCTGACAAGAAGTATACACGGCAAGAGTTTGTTTTCTCTGAGGATTCACACAGCCCCTCCAGACATTACAGTGCCCAGCACTGGGGTTTGGATCATTGCTGGAGCAGGCAGTGGGTGCCTACTCAAGCCAGTGAGTCACTTGATGACCCGAGAGTGGGTGACCCTTAGCTTTGGCTGGTGTTAGTGTCTTTGTGGACATACACACACCCATGAAGCTGGGAAAGGTGGCATCTGTGTACCTGGCCCTATTTCCCCAAGTTAAGCTTAGGACATGTGAAGTAATATGGATTTTTGTGACCTACCTGGTTGTGAGAAGTCAATTTGGTGCTACCATATTGGATTCTTTGGGGTGCTTGATGCTTTACCCAAAAATGGGACAGAATGGTTAAAACGTGGACTGTCTTTAAAAATTCAGATTGTGTGGTCACCATTTCTTGTGACCTGTATGATTCAACGAGCCAGTTGTGCCCCTGAAACTCAGGTGTCACCCCTCCACGGAGGTTTCCTGGATCCTCTATGTAGGGAAGGATGCTGCTTCTGGAGCACTGTGGCTCCCAGCTCCAGACTGGGCAGCCCCTTGTGAGCTGAGATTGTGTTTAATTCATCTTTGTATCTCCCATGAAGACAGGTGCCTCCCCTCCTCTAGGGATTCTCAGAGTGTAAGCTCCTGGCTTCTCCATTTGTTTCCTCGTGGGCTGACACGTACCCTGTGCTGGCCTCACAGCAGCAGGGAAGAAGGGGACAAATGCAGGGGTGAGGGTAGATGGATGGGTCAGGACACAGGGGAAACTGGCTCCACCATTTCCCAGTCTTGTGGCCCTGGGCAAGTTCCATTCCTCTCTGAGCCTCAGTTTCTTCATCTGGAGATGGGGATGATTTAAATAGCTGACTTTTACTGAGTACGTACTGTGGGTCATGCATGTGTTAAGCACATTGCATTCAGTAACTTGTTCAGAAAGTACTTATGAGGATCACCAATGTGGAAGGGACACCAGGAGGTCAGCTTAGGGAATGGAGGCTTGGAGAGTTGGGTGACTGCCCAAGGTCCAGATGCAGATGAGTGGGAGAGTGTATACCCCAGAACCCACTCTTACAACCAGCCATCTGTGCTAGATGGACCCCAGCTGACTTGGGTGGATAGGCTGGAGGAGAGCTTAGCATGGAGCCGGCTCAGGGGAAGTCTATATGGTGGTGCTGTTATCAATGGAGGCCAGGCCTGGCTGGTCCAGAAGGCACTCAGCTGGTATCCAGTGGCTGGGGCAGTGAGAGCCTCGCCAAGTGACCCCACAGGATGCTGTGGGAGGAGGCCGTCCAAACCGGAATTCTGAAAGACCTGGTCCAGCAGGAGGGGCCAAGGCTGACAAAGTCCCTGAGGAAGGGTTGGGCTACCCCTCGGCAAGCTCTTCACTTGAGGACTCAAATGGCCCCGCAGAGGCCTGGAGCCTGAGAGGAAGCCAGCTGAGAGAGTGATGGAAGAAGAAGGAGGTCATTTTCAGGTCTGGTTGACCCACAGAGCCCAGGCTGAAGACTGGATCTGGGAGTACCCCAGAAAGCATGTCACTAAAGGGGCAACAGTCAACTCACTGGGGCTGCCTCTTGGGATCTGGCTTTGCCTCTGTTCCCAGTGCCCCAGGGGCAGAATCCACTCCTAACCTTGGACCAAGGACCAGCAGAGAGATGGTACCAAGTAGAGGGGGCTGAGACCTGCTCAAGGACCCCTCCTGGAAGTGGCTACCAGGCCAGTAGGCGTGCCCTAGAAGAGATGGGTCTGTAGCCCCCAGAGGGATAGCATGGGAAGGCTAGGCTGGATGGATGCAGGGAAGCCATAAGAAACCTAGCAGCCCTGCTAAATCCACAGGCCAGAAACCTTGAAGCATCCTTGCCTCCTTGTTCTCGCACCCCACATCTAACCCGTTAGCAAATCCTATGGGTTCATTTCTTCCCTACTGCCATCTCAGCCACCCGGGATACTGCAGTAGTCCCGTCACTGGCCTCTCTGTTTCCATCCCTGACCCCCCATAGCTGGTTCTCCACACAGCAGCCAGAACAATAGTGTTTAAGAACAGTGTCTCCCCAGTCGGGGCCTCCAGTGGCCCTGCCTCCCAATACACACCTCTTTGATACCATGTGCTACTCCACTGCCCTTCCCTCTGCTCCATCCACTCTGGCTTCTTGCTTTTCTTCAAAATGTTCAGACATACCAGGGCGCCTGGGTGGCTCAGGTGGTTGAGTATCCGACTCTTGATTTCGGCTCAGGTCACGATCTCAGGGTGACGAGATCGAGACCCATGTCGGACTCCCTGCTGAGCAGGGAGTCTGCTTGAAGATTCTCCCTCTGCCCCTCCACCCGCTCATTCTCTCTCTAATAAACAAATAAATCTTAAAAAAAAAAAAGTTCAGACATACCTTCCCCTCTCCAGGCCTTTGCACTGGTAATCCCCTCTGCCCAGAACACTCTTCCCTTAGGTATCCACATGGCAAACCGCCTTCCTGTCTTCCAGCCTGCTCAAATGCCACTGTATTTCTCAGTGTTCCAGCAGAATATAGCACTCCAATTAGGATTATCCGAGGACTATTCACAAAGGTGTGAATGGGATGTAAGGACACCCCAAGGGAGAGTGCAATGCCCAGGTGTGGGGGCATGGGGCACCTTTACTACTCCCAGGCTTGAGGGGGAGGGAAGGAAATGGCTGCTGAAAACAGGAAAGAGACTATTGTGGGAGAAGGTCCCCAGACAGGGGCTGTGACCCTTCAGAGAAGGAGCCAGGGGAATGAGCACCTTGCTTTCCTTGCCGGCTTTCCTGTACCCCCACTGGTGAGCCGGGCTGGAGGGCAAATGGATGCTCCCCAGAAACACCGACTGCCTTCTCCGCTGCTCCCACCCCCAGCCCCCAGGTCCTTTTACTTTGCTCTCTTATCTTCCGTGGCACTTATCTCCTGACATTTTACATTTTCACCACAGTTATTTTATGTCTATCAGCTCCAGAAGGGCAGGAATTTTGGTCTAATGCATCCCAAGGACACAGACTGGCATAGCAGGCACTCAACAAATGATCCCGGAATACATGAGTGCCCACTCAATCTCCCTGGGTGCCTCTGGGCAAGCTTCTGGGCCCCTGCCTGGGTAAGGGGGGGCTGGATGCTGCTGTCTGAGGCTACGGGGTTAGAGAGAAGCCAGTGGAGACCAGCAGGGTTGGGAAGGCAAGCCTGAAGGCCTGTGCTCAGAGCCACCATCCGTACCTGTGGTTCCCAGAGCAGATCCCTGCCTCTCCCCAAGGCTGTGATGTTGAGACCAGTAGGATTGTCCTTGGCAAAGGCCTTACTACTTGGTTTCTTGAACAAGGCGCTGCTCTGTGAAATCTCCTACTTCATGAATCGGCTCTTTGAGGAAACATCTGGCCCCTCTTCTGGGCCTCCAAGGAATGTTTCCTTTAGGGAGGCCTGAACTCACCCTGCATGTAGGTCCAGAGTTGTAGCTTTGGGTTCTATTCTAGGCCTCCCTTGGCCAAGCCTTGGGTTCCCAGGGACAGGCCTATGCAGGGCCTACCTGACCTCAGGGTGGCCCTTGCTGGGCTCTTGGGCTCCCTCCCCCACAGGTGCCTGGGGTACTGGGGCCTCCCTGAGATGGTACTGCCACCCCTCAATAAGCCTCAATGTCCTACAGAAGAGAAGACTCAAAACAAGGTGATGACCACCCCTGCCCTCCAGTTGTAAAGTTGTGCATTTTCTCTAAGGGGTTTATCAACTGAAAGCTATTTCAATCCAAATACCAACAAGATTGGGGAGGGAGCCTCAGAAAATGATATTAATCTTCCTCTGGAAAAATAAACATTTGAAACTAGCAGGAAAATTCTGAAAAAAGGAAGGAACACACCACACAAAACCCAGAAGTCTTAAAGTAAAAGACTGATTATTTGAACACATAAAAAAAAAATTTTTTTTAAACCCGAATGGAGAAAATTATTAAAAAACAAAGTCAAAAGGCCACATACTGGGAAAACTATTTGTAACAGAATGTCAGACAAAGAGCTAATTTTCTTAATATATACATTTTAGAAGTCAATGGGCAATTCACAAGGAAAGAAAAATTCCAGATGAACAGTAAATACATGAAAAGATGCTCACCTTCACTCATAATGAAAGAAACATATAACAAAATAACAATGAAATGCCATTTTCAACTGCTAGATTGGCACCAATGAAATGTTTTACAACGTATAGTGTTGGTGAGGGTGTGGGGAGACAGCCTCAAACACTGCAGGAATGTAAATTGACCAGCATATTGGAAGACAATTTTGAAAACAGCTACTGTGGTGGAGTAAAGGTGGTCACAAATTCTTTGACACTTCTCCCCTAGAGAGAGGAGGTCGGTGATCCCTTCCTTTGAATTTGGGCTGGTCTTTAAGTTCTCTGGTCAATAAAATCTAGCAAAAGTGATACTGTTTTAGTTCCAAGCATATCCCTTAACTTGCCCAGCAGATTCAACGTTCTGCCTCTTACCTGAACTGCAATGACCTGTTGTGAGAAGTCCAAACCATGTGGGGGAGCCCTGGAGGATATGACATCATTTGCAGAGAGAGGTCAAGAAGTGCTAAGGCCTTGTCATGTGAGTGATGAAGCCGGCTTGGCAGAGAAGGAAAGACAAACCATCCAGCTGAGCCCTTTCTGAATTCCTCACCTGCAAAATTGTGAATAAGATAAAATGGTGGTTTTAAACATTGCATTTGGGGGTGGTTTGCCATATAGCAATAGGTATCTAGAACAGCTATCCAAATTTAAATTTATCCTTTGACCCAGCAATTTCACCTCTATGAATCTAACCTACCAAATGTTTGCACAGTGCACAAAAACACCTGACCAAAGAAGTTCATTGCAGCAATGTTTGTGATAGATAGCACGACGCTGGAAACAATCCATCTGTCCCTCATCAGCAGAAAGGCTAGTATATCTAATTAATGATATATACTGTACCTAGGGAAAGCCTGAACCAAGAAAAAGTACCATCTGTAGTCCTATGAGCCTAGAGTGACACACAGAGTGGTTAAGAGCATGGATTCTGACACTGGTTCTGCCATCTGTGATCTGTGTGACTTTGGGAAAACTGTTTAACCTCTCTGTCCTATAATTTCCTTATCTGTAAATTGAGGATGATAATCATAGCACCTCTTTCAGAGGGCCATGGTGGGAAATAAATGTGTTAAAATGATAAGCCTGGTATGGATCTGTGCTATATGTACTTTGGACATGCAAAGAACTTGAATTTAAATTGGGTTGGAGCAGACCTTTTAATATCCTTAAGGGGCTGCAAAACAAAGGATCTGCCAGATTGCCATCCTGAGACGGACAAGGGAGATTTGACAAAGACTGGAAGGCAGCTGTGGGAGAATGTTTTCAGAGAAATGGACTCACACTATACTTATTGTTCTTTTTCTTGCTATCTCTTAGACATTCTTCCTACCTCAGCACTTACAGATCCATTCATTTCTTTTTTTAACTACTGCTCAGTATTGCCTTGTATGGCTGTACTTCAATTTATTTCATCATCCTCTAATTTTTCCAGATTTATTGAGAAATAACTGACATACATCATTGTATAAGTTTAAGGCATACAGGGAGGCCTGGGTTGCTCAGTCAGTTGAGCGTCTGCCTTTGGCTCGGGTCATGATCCCGGGGTCCTGGGATGGAGTCCTGAGTTGGGCTCCTTGCTCAGCAGGGAACCTGCTTCTCCCTCTACCTGCCACTCCCCCTGCCTGTGCTCTCTTCCTCTCTCTCTCTGACACATAAATAAAATCTTTTAAAAAAAAAAGTTTAAGGCCTTAAACTTTGATTTACATATATTGTAAAATGATCACCAACCCCTACTGGTGGACTCGAGTTGTTTCCAGTTCTTTCCTACAGTTGCAAACAACACTGCAGCAAATGTCCTTGCACATTTATCTTTGCCCTAGCACTGCTATTATTTCTGTGGTGCAGATTCTTCAAAATGGAGTTGAGGATAAAGTATATATACACTTAAAAAAATTCTGATAGCTCTGGTCAAATTGTTTCAATATCTGGTCCCATCCCCCACCCCCACTGCATTTGTTTTCACAACTCTGTCTCTTTGTACTTACTATTTTTTTTAGATGAACTTTAGATGAACAAAAGTATTATCTGGCCTTGTTTTTGAATTAATATAGTGATGAATCAAGCACCATGTCTGCCTTGAAAAACTCAGTCTGGTAGGGATGGGGGGTGCAAAGTGGTATCCTGTGTGTGTGGGGGGGAGGGGTAGCTGCAAAATAAACTGCAAAATAAACAGTCACCCCATCAAGGCTATAGGGCTGGCACAGAAGGCTGGACCATAGGCTCTGGGAGCCCCCAGGAGACAGCAGCATTGGGGTCTGAGACAATCAGGGAGGCCTCCGTTGAGGAGGTTTCCTGCCTAGCCTTTGCATTGGTTCCAGAGCATTTTCTAGAACACTGACTCATTGAATGCTCACGGTAGCCCTTAGCATTAAGTGGTATTATTATCTCCACCTTCCAGATGAGGAAACTGAGGCCTGGAGAATGAAAGTCTTGCCCAGCTCCACCTCTGCGCTCTTCGCTTCCCTTTTCCTCTCTCTTCGCTGTGCTTCCCCTATCCTTCCCCCAGCCCCAGCCCCTCCTGCCCCCACCCTGAGCCACGCCGCCTGGGCGGGCAGAGCTCTGCAAAGCCCGGGGCACTGCTTCTGGATACTGCCCGTGGCTTCTCACAGAGGCTGGGGCGCAGACCCCACGGGTCTAGGTGGCACCCTGACCCGCTCTGCGGCCTCGTCCACACGGCGCTGCCTCACCTCCTGGCCCACAACTCGGGGTCATCCCCGCCCTCCTCCAGGCAAACTCCTCTGGGAAATCAGGCCTTTGGAAGTTCTGGGTGAAGCATTTGCTCCTTCCGAGCTGCAGTGTTTCAAATGCACGTTACCCTGACAGAAACCCATCGTCAATCGCCACACTTTCGGTGTGAAGAGCGTTCCTGTATCTTGGGCGCTCAGGTTGACAAAGGCCTGAGGCTCTCCCGGAGGTCCTTCGTGAAGGGGGGAGTCAGGAGAGTGGGAATTAAACTGGCAGTTCACTCGCCGGTCCTGACATCCCTGCAACTCTGCCGCTTTTCACCCCGCCCCCCAGGGGCCAAGTCCTTGCCTGGCGGTCAACGACCTGCGCCGCGCTTCTGGGGAAAACCTCAGAAAACAGAGCGGCAGGAAGCCGGCGTGGAGGACCAGCTCCGAGAGACCCGGAGCCCGCGGGCGGGACACCGCCTCTCCGCGCGGAGCCTCCTCCGCGGCGGCCGGACCCAGCCAACCTCAGGTCGGAATACGGTCGGTAATCCCCGGCGGCTCGCTCCTCACGCTCTTCCGGCTTCCGTGACGCTTGCGCCCGCGGTGGCTGCGGACTACTGTACGCACAACTGAGGCAATTACGGTATTTCCCGCCGGCAGCTCTTGGCCGGCTCTGGCTCCCCCGTGTGTCGACCTCGGGAACTGAGAAGCTGCGCAGCTGGAGAAGCGGCGTGAGCAGCCGCTGCATGCCTCTCTCTGGTCCGGCTCCTCCGCACCCCCGTGCCTGCTTGCGCTGTTTTTTGAGGTTTTCCCGCCAAACGCTTTTCTTCTCGGCGAGCGAGCGCACCCTAGAGTCGGGGTGCCCCAGGGGACGCAGACTGCAGCGCCACGTGGACCACGGAGTTCGCCTTCCAAGAGAGGCATGCCCGGATTCCACTCTCAACTCTCCTGTTTGCAGTGTGTCCCTGGGCGAGTCATTAACCTCTCTGCACTTCCCTTGCCTCCTCTGTAAAGTGGAGCTTAGATTTACTAGTTCTTGCCTCACAGGGTTGTCAAGATGATTCAGCGGGATAGGTGGCAGGTAATAATTACCACCATAATGAGTCACTCGCTGTGTCCGGGGACTGCTTTAGGCATTTTGAAATGACCCTATAACAAAGTATCATCCATAGATGAAGAAATTGAGATTTAGTGATTTGCCCAGAGTCACACAGCTAGAGAGTGGCAGAACTGGGACTAGACTCAGGAAGACATGAGTACACAAGTGTTGGGCAGTGTGGGTGGGGTCCAAGTTTTGTCAGTTTAGGGGGGTGCCCAGAGGCCTGAAAAATAAAACAGCCCTGCCTTCCTTTGGGTCGTTAATCAATGCTTTCTTCATCTAATGAATTATTCATCCCGTCTTAGTATAATGCTTTCGTGGGCAGGGAACTAAGACCATCCAGGCCTACTTCCTTGTGAAGAGATGGGGAGAGACTTTTCCAGGGTCACATGGCCGGGCACTGCAGAACAGGGCTGGAGCTCAGTCCTAGCCCTGTGCTGGGGCTGTTTCCCCTACCCTTCCCCTCTGGGTAAGCAACACTCAAGCTACCCACTCGGTACTGGGACCTCTCCAGGGGCTGCACACTGGCCTCTCCTGACCCTACTTGGTCAGAACCTTCTGCCATTCCCCTTCCGTCCCTTCTCCAGGCATTGCAGGCCTCTCTCCCCTAAAGGGCTGATGCTGTAAGCAGAGAGACCTGTGCAGCCTCTGGCTTCCAAGTGCTGGCACATGACCAGTAAATATTTTGCCATTGTGTGTGTGTGTGTGTGTGTACCTTTTTTCTTTTTGTTAGAATGGGGCTAGCTGGGGCACCTGGGTGGCTCAGTCTATTAAGCATCTGCCTTGGGCTCAGGTCATGATCCCCACTGAGCAGGGAGGCTGCTTCTCCCTCTTCCTCTACCTCTCCCCACTGCTTGTGCATGCGCTTCCTCTCTCTCTCTTTCTCAAATAAATAAGTAAAATCTTAAAAAAAAAAAAAAGAATGGGGGGTGCCTGGGTGGCTCAGTAGGTTAAGGGTCTGCCTTGGGCTCAGGTCATGATCCCGGGGTCCTGGGATCAAACCCCGCAGCAGGGAGCCCGCTTCTCCCTCTCCCTCTGCCGTTCCCCCTGTGTGTGCTCTCTCACTCTCATTTTCTCTCAAATAAATAAATAAATAAATAAATAAATAAATAAATAAAATCTTTCTAAAAAAAAAAAAGGAATGGGGTTAGCTATGGTAGCTACACTTGTGGTGAGCACAGCATAATTTTATAAGCTGTCTAAACTTGTCCAATCGTGATGTTGTTCATCTGAAACTAATGTAACATTGTGTGTCAGCTATACTCAACTATAGGAAAGAAAGAGAAAGAGGCTAACATAATATATAGGGAGTGATTCCCAGTGTCATCTCAGGGTATATGAATCATGGGTATGTTTTTTCTTGTCTGTATTTTAAATTTTCTTTGGTAATGAACAAACATTACTTCATGAGTAAGACAAGAAATAAAAGTTGTTTCAAAATTCTTTTAAGGGGGCGCCTGGGTGGCTCAGTC